CTCATCAAATCTAGGATTGTGCCAAGAATAGTGTTGCAAGAATGATTTGTCAGTGTTGTTTATAGTAGATGAATACTGGAAACAACCTAGGTTAAAATAACTGTGGGGCTGATTTCATACAGTGGGATGTATGTAGCTACAAAATAATGTTTTAGTGGAAGACTATATTAATAATATAGAGGTATGTTCATGATCTACCATAATCTACCATGTGTGAAGCACAAGTTACCAACTAAATCTAGTCCACTTCTCACACTGTAGTACTGTTTCAGGAGTTTGCACAGTCATAGGAATGTAACATAGTATATTTTCTTGGAACATAAAGGCTCCTGAAAGATATGGAGAAGAAAACACCAGCAGTACTTCTTTGGTGTTAAGACAGCTTTATCGTGGACTAGAGTGTGTGCATTTTTAAAATAACCAAATAAATTTCACACTTGTGGTCTTGTTTTGGTAACTGTTCCACTGATTAACTGGTGAGACTTTGAGCAATTTCAACAGTTTTTTAAATTTGAATAAAGTTAGAAAAAAGACAAAATATATGTTAAATGTTAACTATTATCTTTGGGTGCTAGGATTATAGAGGATTAAAATTTTACCTATGTTTTCTACTATGAACCTATATTAAGTTAAAGTTATTTTAAAAGTTATATTTAATGGAAAAATTTAAACATTTCTATGCAGACAAGAAACAGCTTAGCTTCAGAGTTCCATTCTGAGCTAATAGGATTAAATCAGTAATCATTACAGCCCCTTTTTATCTCTGCTCTATTCTCTTATTATGTGTTCTGGATGTCATTTCCCTTTGGTTTTCTTTTTTGCCATTATTTAGGTTCATGCACAGCACCAGGCTAAGTGCTAAGCCCCATACTTAATCTTTCCCTTTCTTGAGACTCTAGGCCCAAAATGAAATTAAAAATTTAACTAATTAATCTAAGAGAACCAGTTTCATGTTGGTCTTCGCTTTTATTATTTGTACAGTTTGGGCATAAATGAACATTATCAAGATTTACATCTATAAACCAGTCAAATTAGAAAAATGCACTTACTTTTAATTTATTTATAATAATGAGGAATACACTGTAGAGAGATTTTAAGAAACAGTATATACTCTATCAATAACATAACCTTGTCTTACTTCAAATGCTTTTGAAAAAAATTAACGGGCAAATGTGATTGATACATGATGTTTCCTTAGTGCACTCTTCTAAGTATTGATGCTTTAATAGTTAACTGTGAACTTAAGGAGAAATATATGATAAACTTGAGGTTTGTATTTATAACTAGTGCCTTACTTTCTGAAATTCATTTCTTCTAGGCAAATCGACAGACTTCTACCTGGAATTTAGCCAAAATGTCTACTCCAGCAGACAAGGTCTTAAGGAAATTTGAGAATAAAATTAATCTAGGTGAGTTTATAAAATACATTTCCTTGGTGGGCTATGAGAAAATTCTTCAAAATTTCATACATCAAGAAATAAATATAAATATATTCAATGTTACTGACTGTATAATAATGCTTAAAGAAAATTAAAACATAGTAATTTAAAAACCTGGCTTCAAGGAAAGACTTCAGTTTACACTTCTTTAGTTCTGCTTTCTCCCCATTGTAGTAATATGAAATTACAGATACCCATTCAAGTTATTGTCTGTTTGTATTACATTTGTGGCAGTAGTATTTCATAGTAAGACATTGACAATATTAACAGTATTTAATTACATCTTGTTTTACTAGACTTTTTATGTAGGTATTAATCATCTAATGAACTGTCAAATGCAAGGAATGAGAATGTTAATTTGAATACCATCTCTTAAAAAAAAATGCAAGGTTACTTTTCTCTGTAGACACTGATTAGTTATAAACCTAGCACAGTCTCTCTCACATCCTGTCCTTGACCTGTAGTTTGAGATGAATCTGGAGTTTTTAGAATTAATTAAACCTGGAATTCAGGGAATTTTATTATTTATATTAGTTGTACAAAATATTAATATGTCTCTGAAATTCAGCCCATGCAGGTACAGATTTTTGAGTGATTTCTGGATCTTGTCACCGTCGTGAAAGTGACAACACTTGTTACAAGGAAACACCACTTAGTGCTTAAACGTTAAATTTTTTTCATTACTAAAATATATTCGGGGTGTAATAAAATATTTGGAAAATACAGAAGAGGGAAGAAACATTGTAAGTGGAACAACTGTTGCCTTTTTCCTTATATGTTGTTTACATTGTGGATTTTTTTGTATTTTTTAGATAAGCTAAGTGTTACTGACTCTGTCATAAATAAAGTCAACGAAAAGTTTAGACAAAAGGAAGCAGATATGTAAGTAGTATTTTAGCTATAAAACATGACTGATAGGGACTAATTCTAGACAAATGAAGCAGCATATTGGTCATAATTCTTTTGAAAAGGATGTTCTTTTGTATACTTAAGCCAATTTTTTTTTTTAGCTTAAATGAGGGTATTCTTTGCTTTTTAAGTTGAAAATATTAACTGCGTCTTAAGAAATGTGTGGTAAAACTATAAGCTTGTGAAATTAACAAAAAAGTACTCTTAGGTGGGTAAAAATAATTTCAGTTTAAACTAAAATGTTAGAGTATAAAATGCTCCCTTTTAGAATTTATTAAGAATTGTTCCCTTCCATGAAATACTTTGTAAAATTCAAGGGAAAATTTAAAACTAGATACTGATATGATTGAGAACAGTTTCCATTTATACTTCTGTTCTTAAAACCAGTTGTTTAAGATCCAGCTCATTTCTCCTAAAAACAGTAACTCTAAGGTATGAACAATGTAGTAAAATAACACTAAGATCATACACCTAGCAGTGTGAGAACTGAACTTCAAAACTACTTTTCTTCTGACTAAAAACTAGTTTTCTTCTGGTTTATTCCTATGCCCAGGAGATACCAGCTTTTTGAGAAAAACCAGTCATTTGTTACTTCATCAAAGCATCTGTTTGAATTTTGGGGTTTGCATCTTTATTACTTCAGGCTTGTGTGCTAATTGGGTCAAGTAAGAAGAAAAGACTCAAGGTTTTCTTTTTCCCAGCATAGCTGACTTTACCCCAGCTGCTCTTTCTATTCAGTGCCTCTGGAATATGGATACAATTTTTTTCCTTACTAAGATACGCTTCTTGTGTCCTAGGGGACTGAATTATTTCATAAGGGGAAGTGAAGGGAGTGTCACTGAGCTAGGAAACCACGGGGGCTCATGAATCTACCTACTTTGGATTTCATGATGTACATTTAGAAACCTTTTATTTTGGCTTCTTTGACTGAAGTATCACCTGTGCTTTTTTGGTTTTGGTTAGGTATCGCATCAAAGATAAGGCGGACAGAGCAACTGTAGAACAGGTACAATTTAAATATGCTGCAAGCTCTTGTTTTAGCATTTCTTTTCTCTTTAAATTGTAGTTTGCTGTCATCCTTCTTACTTTATGCTAATGTTACCTAAAATTACTCCTGTATAAAATCACTTCCTACAGTTTTGAGTTTAGATCTCTCCATTTTGCTTTATTGATAATAGGACTGTTAGTAGATAGACTCAAATGCCCCTCCACCCTCCTTGGTCTGCGAAGCCACTGTATAGTGCTTGTATCTTCTGGGGGAAGCGGAGTTGGCCAGAAGACCAAGAGTCTTTTCTCTTGTCTTAAATAAGATCTGTAGAATTTTTGTGAGTTTCCCCAGAATAGGCCAGGTATTGGCCAAAAAGCAGCATCTGTGTGTGTATCTGTGTGTGTGAGCGAGAGAGACCCACAAACATATAATGACTTCAAATTTCAATTAGAAATCCCTTACTTAGTTTAGAAATTTTACTTGTTAATTCTTTCTACTCAAGAATGGGGAAAAGTCAGCCCCTAATTTTCCCACATGTGCAGGGCTATGATTTGATGTTAACATTGGCCCAGATTTTTTATATGAAGGAAGTGATAAAAAGGATCAGCATTGCTACTGCTACTTAGCACCATTCTCCCCACCCACACACAAACACAATCCTACAGATGCTTGGTTTCAGATATAAGTACCCCTCCTACTACCCACCTCAGTCCCCAAAGGAGTGACACGTCCCCTGGGCTTCAGAAGCATTTGTGCAGTTGAAGAATCCCACTGTTCAGTCAGGCAGGAGCATATCTGGGATCTGTGTCTTCAGTGTAGTGTCCTCTAATTCATTTATTTTGTGTGTTTGCTTTTTGCTATTGAAAACAAAGTGTGGTCCAGCTCAGAGATAGGAGGCTACTTTAATTTTCAAAGACCCTAGAATAACTCAGGCAGGAAATTCTTTCTTTTTATCTTTCAAAATTAATTTCAAATGAGCGTGTATGTCTTGAGCCTTAAGCTATCTTCTTTAAATAGCTTTGTATATATATTTATAAGACTATTCACTTACTATATATCTCTTTCCCTATCTTATTTTAAGCCATTACATTGCTTGTAATACTCCCCTGTCTTGGCTATCTGCCAGATTTGGAGAATTACAGGTCTCTACCTAGATTCCTTTGCTCAGCCACTTTGCCATAGACAAGGGATGCCAGGCACTGCCTATATACATATCCACTTGCCTTTCATTCTTCCCTAGTTGCAGTGGTTGTAGTTTGCCTTTAAGTCCTGCAGTCTTCCAAGGTCATTTTGTTTCTATTAGGCTTCTGGTATGACCTCAGTTGCCTCACTGAAGGAGAGAGCCTAAAGTGTAGTTTTGGCCATTTTGCAAGGTCCCACTCCAGAGCTGGAGGGGCCACCTGAGCTGTGAGGAGTTACTGAAGTGTCCCTTGAAATTGCATGTAAATATTGGCTGCTTCAGTTTCGGAAATGGACAGGAGTAGGCTTTAAATTCTTTGCTTTCTGTTTGTTAAAGAGGACTGGGGTCTGCAAACTCTTGCTTTAAAGAATAAATACTTTGAGCATGGGGCTCACAATTCTTCCTTTGTTTTTTAACAACTGTTTTAAAAGGTAAAGACCATTCTTAGCTTGCAGGCGTGGAAAAAGACTGTAGACTGGATTTGACTCATGACCTACAGGATGCTGACCCCAGGTTGAAAGTTGCATATCCAGTGCAGTGGCCACTGAGCACTTAAAGTGTGGCTAGTCTGAACTGAGATGTAAATACAGAGCAGATTTTGAAGACAACTACCAAACAGGATATAAAATATCTCACTAATAATTCATTTGGTTACATGTTGAAATGATAGTGTTTTAGATGTATTAAATAAAATATATTAAAACTAATTCTACTTCTTTGTACTTCTTTTAATGTGGTGACTAAAAAAATGTACAATTCTTAGGTGGTTTGCATTATATTTCTGTTTGCTGATGTCGGTCTAGAGTCAGTTGCTGCTTCTCTTGGACTTGGCAGCTTTGGTTTCCGTGACTGAGTGAACTTCCTGGCCTATTGTCTCTCTGGTTCCTTTGGCCTTCTCTTCACATTTTATTTACTAAAACTCAGAGTAAATAGAAACACAACAGTGACTCTCCTTTACTCAACCAGGATAGCATAGTAAAGATGAGCCCTTTGGTTAATTAGTTGTCCAGTGCTTCTGTGAAACATTTAGTAGTATTTTTCTGAGCTTTCTGGTTTTTGCCTTTCTTTTTAGGTGTTGGATCCCAGAACACGAATGATACTATTCAAGATGTTGACGAGAGGAATCATATCAGAGATAAATGGCTGCATTAGCACAGGAAAAGAAGTGAGCTTGCCTTTGGATGCCTGAATGTTATCATGTTAGTTTCCTTATTTCAGATACAAAATGAAACTCAGGCACGTGGTAAATAAATTGTGCCTTTAAAAAGAAGCGAACAATAACAAATGACACACAAGTCATGACAGTTTAATCAGTGTGTCTAAAACTGGCTTTACTCATATGGCTGGGGGGAAGTTGACGCATAACCACCCCTTTCAGAACCATTACTGTACCATATCGTTGAATCCAGCTAGCTGTGCCCAGCAGTAAGCAGCAAAGGTTGTATCCCTGCCGGCCTAAGTCCTGGTCAAGAAGTTACTACTGGGCGTAGTGGGTCAGGGTCTAGCCTGACATGGCATGAGTGTTTTTAAATTAGCAACTCATTCGATGGGAAGCAGTTCTCAGTAAAATTCAATTTATAAACCATGAGATGTAAAATGCCTTCAAATTTTCCATATAAAAGTGTTTGAAACCACTTCTTGTGCACTTAAATTGATTTTACTATATAAATAAATGGGAGATAGATTTACTGTACCTTTTGGTATTATGTTTCATGTTTTGATTCACATTCAAAAAATGGTGTTCCTTATGCATGTTCACTTGACTTTTCTTGAATTTTTGAGGATAGAATCAAATAGACTAAAAAAGTAAACTATTGCTTATAGTTATTTAACAGAAACTCAATTGTCTTTGTTTTTGTCTTAAAATAGGCTAATGTATACCATGCTAGCACAGCAAATGGAGAAAGCAGAGCAATCAAAATTTATAAAACTTCTATTTTGGTGTTCAAAGATCGGGATAAGTATGTAAGCGGGGAATTCAGGTGAGCTTAGAGTGTTTTCTCCAGTTGGTTTAATTTTTATATCCTTAAAAAAATAAAAACTAGAAAAGTGGAATGATTGAAATGATGTTTTCTTTGTTCAAGATTTCGTCATGGCTATTGTAAAGGAAACCCCAGAAAAATGGTGAAAACTTGGGCAGAAAAAGAAATGAGGAACTTAATCAGGTGACTGTCTTGGTGGGGGGGTTGTCTGCTGAGCCCTGTGTGTCAGCCTCAGCCCCTTCCTGCCGGCAGACCCCAGTGTGGTGCCCGAAGACAGAGTCAGGAGGGCTGTCCCATTCCAGTAGGTCTGCTGAAGGAAGCAGAGCAAACACATTTCTGGATAAATAGGAACTATCTTATCTTCTCTATTTCAAGAACCCATTACAGAAGAATCTGCTACGATTCACATTTATTCAGCGAGGCTGTATCATTTGAAGAGACTTGGAAGCCCTATGAAAATTGTTAGAATTTATGCTGAAGATGATAAGGAGCTATTAAAAGATTTTAAGCAGGGAAGTGACACAATCGAGTGGTGAGAACGATGTGTCATTTTTAAATAGATGTAGTCTTAGACATTTTGCTAGTTCCTAACCTCTGTCAGTTTCTTTTTCTTACTTCAGTCTAATTTCAGACACATTTATAATTTGCACTAATACCTTTGTATTAAGTAAAAGCACCAAGTTTCTTCAAATACGCAGTTATTTTCCCCTCTTGCAACAGCCTTTTAACTTTTTCTATGCTGTCTGTAGGTGACATACATTCGCTATTTTACTATTAAGCAAGGTATGAATCCAACTACTTTTAATAGTCATTGTTCAGGCTGACCAACTCAAAAGATAATTGCAGACATCTCGCTGTGTTTCATCAGTTTTAAGATGCATGTTTTTCAGTTTGATCTCTGGAATCAGATTGGGTGGTAGAGCCTAAGGTATGTCGTAGTTGAACTGCCAGTGTTTCATCATTGGTGGTACAGGATGTTGCAGTTTAAAATCAGTGGTATCCTAGGGTTTATGAAATACAGTAGTACAGTTGAGAGGCCTTGGTGCTCTTCCCTAACAGCAGTGTCAGTCTTGTGTTCTGACGCTGTCATCATTTGTTTCAGTCACCATTTTGACTTTTCATTTGTCTCTTTATTTGTTTTAATATCGTAGGCTAAGCACAGCAGAAATCCCATGCCCAGAGCCTGTTCTGCTAAGAGGTCATGTTCTTGTCATGGGTTTCATCGGTAAAGATGACATGTGAGTATGTGGAAGGCCTAGTAATTACATGCTCAGAATTTTATTTTCAAGTGCTTTGAATGATCTGATACATGAATATTTCCCATTTAGATAATTCCTTTCATCTTAGAAAATTTTTTATGAATTTTTCCCCTGTATTAGTGCTTAGAGTTATTAACTTAGTTTACCTTTTTAAGTCTCAAAATTCTTTAGGATAACAAAGTTACCCTTTCTGTGAATTATTTGTACAGTAAGCTAGGAAAGCACCTGTTTGTTGACAGTCTTTTTGAATGGGATATCTACAGTGAACCAGCTTGCTCAGTGATGAGTTAAAGAAAAGAAGTACATATTGGAGAAGACAAGTAATGACTCTTCAACGTCTTACTACACTGATAGACAGTGACTGCAGTAGAGGGGGTGAGGACTTGCTAGTATGGATGAATGTTGAAACCACAGTAGTGTTTATGTAAAACCATCATAAGGTTGTATATCAATGACACTTTAATAAAAAGAAAAGAAAAGTGCGTTTAACAATGTAGTGTAGATCAAGAAAACTTCTCTGGGTAAGTTTATCTTAATTGTATACTTTGTTTTTATTCAAGGCCAGCACCACTCTTGAAAAATGTCCAATTATCAGAATCCAAGGCTCGGGAATTGTATCTGCAGGTCATTCAGTATATGAGAAGAATGTATCAGGATGCCAGACTTGTCCACGCAGATCTCAGTGAATTTAACATGCTGTGAGTGTGTTTTGTTCCCTAGGAACCTCCTGAGAGTCATTCATGTCTTTTAAAAAAGTGAAATCCCAGTCCGAGAAGTCATACTAAGTTCTAAAGCTCTGAAGCTGGCTTCCACATGGTCACCCCATAGGATGTTCCCTGCCTTTGGTGGGCTTGGTCACAGATTTGACTACTCTGGTCATGTACAGAGTTGAAGGACATTAAAAATATTCTCAGTTTTCAGTTCTCGTTAATCAAAGTGGCCTCTTCTCCTCACCCACTTTGTTCATTTCATTAGTTAATCCCCTTTTTCCTCAGATAGAATTTCTTAAACGAAAAACGTAGAAAGTGAAAGTATCCTATGGTCCTCTGTCTGGCCCTCAGGTACCAGAGTGGAAGTGTATACATCATTGATGTTTCTCAATCTGTGGAGCATGACCACCCACATGCCCTGGAGTTCTTGAGGAAAGACTGTGTCAATGTCAACGGTGAGTGGAAATTGGAATTTTCTACCAGATTATTTGTATGTATTCTGTTGATAAAAATATTGACCCCAGATCATTTGATGTGGTGAGACACCATTTGCTGGGAGATCGTGTATTTTTATCTTTTTCTCTGTAAACTAGTTGGAATAATAATGTTTTTCCTCATAAAGCTGTCCTTAACGTTTTCCTTTGGACAGATTTCTTTCTGAAGCGCAGTGTTGCTGTTATGACCGTGCGGGAGCTCTTTGACTTTATCACAGACCCATCAATCACACACGATAACATGGACATTTATCTCTCAAAGGTGAGATGGGGTGAGGAAGGGAGAGAACAGAAAATAGCAGTAGGAATTTGCATTTATGTGGCACTTCTCAGGGGCTCAAATTGCTCAGCGTGATCTTTGTCCATTTTGACAGCTTTCTGCGACCGTTTCCTTCTGAGTTTACAGATGGGGAATCACACAGAATAAAAAGCCAATAGTAAATCCAGGTTTCTTGACTTTAATCATAAGGCAAGATGACTTAGACTGTCAGAGTTGGTGAACGTTTAGTAAGAAACCTGTTAGCTTTGGTCATTAATTCCTTTCCATTGGTTTCAGAGGCCTTACTGAATCACAGAATTTTTAAAAATAGTGTTAGAATATGCATAACATAAAATTTACCATTTTAACCATTTTTAAGTGTACAGTTCAGTGGCATTGAGTACATTCACACTGGTGTGCAGCCATCACCACCGTCCATCTCCAGAACTGTTTCATCTTGGAAAACAGAAACTCTGTACCCATTAGACACTAACTCCCCTCTCCTACCTACCCAAAGCCCCTTCTGCTTTCTGTCTATAATTTTGCCTACTTTAGGGACTTCATGTGAGTGGAATCACACCGTATTTGTCTTTTTCTGACTGACTGATCTCAATCAGCATAATGCTCAAGGTTCATCCATGGTGTAGCATGTGACAAGATTTCCAGGCTGAATGGTCTTCCATTGTATGTGTCCACCACATTTTGTTTATCCATTCATCCGTGATGGACACTTGGGTTGTTGTGAATAATGCTGTGAATGTGTGTATATAATTATGTCTTCAAGACCCTACTTTCAATTGTTTTGGATGTATACCCAAATCTAGAATTATTGGATCATATGGTAATTACACTTTTTAATGTTTTGAGGACCCACTGTATTCATTTGCACAGTGGCTGTACCATTTTACATTTCCACCAACATCACGCAGGGCTTCTAATTTCTCCACATCTTCACATCTTTGCCAATGCTTGTTATTTTCTGGTTTTGCTTTTGTGTTTCTGTTCTGATGGGTGGGAGATGGTATCTATAGTTTTGATTTGCATTTCTCTATGATTTGTGATGGAACATCTTTTCATGTGCTTACTGGCCACCGTTTATTGAAGAGGCTGTCTTGTCCCCATTGTATAAACCTTGCCTCCTTTGTCATAAATTAATTGACTGTATATGCATGGCTTTATTTCTGGGCTCTTTATTCTGTTCAATTGGTCTCCGTTATTATATAGTAACCTGGTTGATTACTGTAGGTTTGTAATATTGTTTGAAATCAGAGAGGGTGGTGCCTCCAGCCTGTTCTTCTTTCTCAAGATTGCTTTGGCTATTTGGGATCTTTTGTGGTTCCATACAGATTTTAGGATTGTTTTAATTCTGTGAAAAATGTCATTGGAATTTTGATAGGGATAGCATTGAATCAGTGGTTGCCTTGGTGGGTAATATAAACAGTTTAACAATATTAATTCTTCCAATCCATGAACATGGAATATCATTCCATTTATTTGGTTTTCAAATTCTTGTATCAGTGTCTTAAAGTTTTCAGTATATAGGTCTTTGACCTTGTTGGTTAAATTTATTCCTAAGTATTTTATTCTTTTTGATGCAATTGTAAGTGGAATTACTTTTTTTAATTTCTCTTTCTGATAGTTCATTGTTCATTCATGGCATTTTACATATTGATTCTGTACCCTACATCTTTACTGTGTTTGTTTATTACTTTCAATTTTTGGTGGAGTCTTTTGGGCTTTCTATATATGAAATCACATTGTCCCCAAATAGTTACTGTTTTACTTCCTCCTTTCCAATTTGGATGTCTCATTTCTTTGTCCTGTCTCATTGTTCTGGCTGGGACTTCCAGTACTATGTTGTTCAAAGTGATGAACATGGGCATCCTTGTCTGGCTCCCAATCTTAGAGGAAAAACTTTTTACTTTTTGCTTTTTGCCTTTGAATCAGATGTTAGCTGTGGGTTTGTCATAAATGGCCTTTATATTGAGGTATGTTTCCATGTTGTGAGTTTTTTTAATCATAAATGGATGTTAAATCTTGTTAAATGTTTTTTTCTGTACCAGTTGAGATGATCACATGATCTTTATCCTTATATCCCTGAAATAAATCCCACTTGATAATGGTGTAAGATCCTTTTAATATATTGTTGAGTTCTTTTTTGCTGATGTTTTGTTGAGAATTTTTGCATCCTGAACAAATAGGGCTATTGACCCATAATTTTATTTTTTTGTGGTGTCTTTGTCTAGTTTTGGTATCAGAGTAATATTAGTCTTTTCAAATGAATTTGGGAGCATTCCCTCCTTTTCAATTGTTTGGGAGAGTTTGAGAAGGATAGGTATTAAAACTCTTTGAATGTTGGTAGAATTCACCAGTGAAGCTGTCTTATCTTCCACTTTGGTTTGTTGGGAATTTCTTGATTACTGACTCAATCTCCTTACTAGTAATCAGTCTCTTCAGATTTTCTATTTCTTCATTGTTCAGTCTTAGAAGATTATATATTTCTAGGAATTTATCCATTTCTTCTAGGTTGTCCAATTTATTGACATATAATTCATAGTAGTCTTTCATGATCCTTTGTATTTCTTTGGTATCAGTTGTAACTTTCATTTCTGGTTTTAGTTATTTTCTCCTTTCTTTTTTCTTAGTAAATGTGGCTAAGGGTTTGTCAATTATCTTTATCTTTTCAAAGAACCAGCTCTTAGCTTCACTGATCTTTTCCATTTCATTTATTTACACTGTCATCTTGTTATATCCTTCCTTGTACTAACTTGGGCCTTTATTTGTTCTTCTTTTTCTAGCTAAAGAAGGTGCTGAGTTAGGTATTTGAGATTTTTCTTGTGTCTTGAGGTAGGCATGTATTGGTGTAAACATCCTCTTTGAACATGGTACATTGTATTTTCATGTCTCAAGTTATTCTTTGATTTCTCCTTTGATTTCTTTGTTGGCCCATTGGTTTTTCAATAGCATGTTGTTTAATTTCTACATAGTTGTGATTTTTTCAATTTTATCCTTGGGACTGTATTTATGTAACTGATTTTCTGTCTAAATGATCTATCCACTGATATATGTAGAGTGTTAAAGTCCTTACTGTTGTTTTCAGTAGGTTAATAGGTCTGTTAATACTTGCTTTGTAGGTTTAGGTGCCCTTGTGTTGGGTGCATAAATATTTACAAATGTTTTATTTTACTGCTGGATTGACCTCTTTATCATTATGTAATGCCCATCTTTGTCTTTATTATTAGAGTTCTGGTTTTAAGATCTGTGTTGTCTGATGTAAATATAGCTACATCAGGCTTCTTCTAGTTCATCTGCATGCAGCCTCTCTTTGCAGCCCTTCGCTTTGTATATGTCCTTATGTTTGAGGTGATTGTCTTGTAGGCAGCATATAGATGAGGTTTGTTTTGTAGATGTTGTATGCCTTCTGCTTGGATAATCCACCTGCATTTTAGGTTATTATAAACAGATGGGTCATTTTGCCATTTTGTTAATTGTTTTTTGGCTGCTCTGTAGTTCCTTTCTTTTCTTATTTTCTTCCCTTTTGGTTTGATGACTTTCTGTAGTGTTATAATTATATTCCTTTCTTTTTATTTTTAGTGTATGTAGTCTAGGTTGTTTCCTTGTGATTACTATGAAGCCGACATATAGTAACCTATGTGTATAACAGTCTAAGTTGATAGCAAGTAATATTTAAATGCATTGTAAAACTCTACATTGTCACTTCCCCTGTCCAATGTTTTAGGTTTTTGATGTCACATTTTGCATCTTTTTATCTATCACTTAACTATTGTAGTTATGGTTATTTTTACTTTTGCTTTTTTAACCTTTATACTAACTTTATATGTGATTAAATCATTATTTTACCAGTTAAATTTTTACTCACATGTTTTCTTCTCACTAATTAGTACCCATTCTTTTCATCTTAAAGAAGTTCCTTTATCATGTATAGGACTAGTTTAGTCGTGATGGACTCCTTTAAGAGCTTTTTTATATCTATGAAGCTCTTTCTCTCTCCTGGATGATAACTTTGCTGGGTAGAATATCCTTGGTTGAAAAGTCTTTTCCTTTCAGTGCTTTGAATATATTATGTCACCCCCTTCTGACCTGTAAAGTTTTTGCTGATAGCCTTGTGGGGATTCCCTTGCACATAACAAGTTGTTTTTCTCTTGCTGCTTTTAAGATTCTGTCTTTATCTTTAACTCTGGACATTTTGATTATAATGTGTCTTGGTGTATGCCTCATTTTGTTTGGAATTTTCTGTTTTCTGGGTTCATTTTGTTTGAAATTCTCTGCTTCCTGGATCTGATGTCTGTTTCAGCCATTATTTCTTCAAATAAATTTTCTGCCCTTTCTCTCTCCTTTCTCTTTCTGGGAACCCTATACTATGAATGTTAATTCGCCTAATGTCGTTCCATGGGTCCCTGAAGCTGTCTTCATTTTTTAAAATCATTTTTTTCTTTTTGTTGCTCTGTTTTGGTGAGTTCCACTGCTGTCTTCCAGATCACTGATTCTTTCTTCTGGTTCATCTAGGCTGCTGTTGATTCCCTCTAGTGTCTTTTTCACTTCAGTTCGTGTATTCTTCAGCTCTGTACTTTCCACTTGGTACCTTCTTATGTTTTCTATCTGTTGAAGTTTTCACCATTTTCATCCATTTCTTCTCCAGAGTGGTGAGCATCTTTATGACTCTTGCTTTGAACTCTTTATCAGGTAAATTGCTTATCTCTGCTTGTTAAGGTTTTTATCTTGTTCTCTGGTTTGAAACATATTCCTCTGTCTCGTTTTGCTTGACTCTCTGTGTTTATTTCTATTTATTAGGTGAAATAGCTATATTTCCCAGTCTTGAAGGAATTGCCTTGTATAGCAGATGATCCTTATTGTTGAACCCTGCCCTAGTCTTGGTTGTCCCTTGAACCTTTGTGTTTGTCTAAGCAGCGTGACTTACTCTTGATCCATCTCAGTTGTTGAGAATGTGCTTTGTGGTTATGAGTGTTCCAGAGGGATGGTTCTCATTCAGCCCCTAGTTTCAGGCTGATTGGAAGCTAGACCCTTAGGCAACAGCTTTTAAGATATGCAAATATAAACAGTCCTGTGGAACTGCAATTTTAAACCGAGCTCTGGCCACCATACCAGTTGATCTGGAGTTGTCCCCTTGGTGACAGTTGAAAAAGTCAGGGCTTGAGACAAGTGCGTGAGCTCCTTTCTGGGAGCTGTAGCAAGGTCAAGGGGGAGAGTGAAGATGGTGTCCCCAAGCCTACATTCCCTGAGATCACTTAATAGCCCGTCAATGTGTGGTAATCCTGAAGTATGCCTCATGAGCTGAAACTCCAGGACAAGTACCATAGGCCTTTTTCACAGGAAGACTGGCATGAGTTTTGGTCAGTTGTCTACGTGGTGCCCTGGGTATGGTGGCCTACCAAAAACTGTGTGTCTGATTGTTTCACATCTGTGGGGCCCAGAAGTGCATCCCCCTCTGGTGCGAGAGCCACATGCTGAAGAGGTGTCCCCTGTGTGGGCTGCACACATCAGCTGCCTCTTGTGGGGCCACTGGGGTGGTGCGGGGGCAGGGCATGCCCACCAGCACTAGCAGGTTAGAGGGAGAGTGCAAAAATGATGCCTGCCAGTGCCTACATTGGAGGGAATCCTAAGAGGCTCCTTCTCTTCTGGCAGGTGCTTTAAGATTAGCAGATTTGTCTCCACATATGTTCTGGGTGCTTTTCAAACTGCTGCTTTTGTGTTGGGTCTTGGGGCAAGTGAGTGTGCCCACACCCTTTAAAAATGGAATCTCCACTCCCTACAGTCCTGTGGTTCTCCTGGATATAAGCCCATTGGTTTTCAATACCAAACTTTTTGGGAGCTTGTTTGTCTCTGTGATATGCCAGGTCCTAGTGGTTGAGGTGCCTGGATGGGGGGTGCAAACCTCTTGCTTCTCAGGAAGAAACTCCAAATTTGTGAGATCCTCCCGATTGTGGGTCACAAGCAAGGTCAAGGGGGAGAGTGAAGATGGTGTCCCCAAGCCTACATTCCCTGAGATCACTTAATAGCCCGTCAATGTGTGGTAATCCTGAAGTATGCCTCATGAGCTGAAACTCCAGGACAAGTACCATAGGCCTTTTTCACAGGAAGACTGGCATGAGTTTTGGTCAGTTGTCTACGTGGTGCCCTGGGTATGGTGGCCTACCAAAAACTGTGTGTCTGATTGTTTCACATCTGTGGGGCCCAGAAGTGCATCCCCCTCTGGTGCGAGAGCCACATGCTGAAGAGGTGTCCCCTGTGTGGGCTGCACACATCAGCTGCCTCTTGTGGGGCCACTGGGGTGGTGCGGGGGCAGGGCATGCCCACCAGCACTAGCAGGTTAGAGGGAGAGTGCAAAAATGATGCCTGCCAGTGCCTACATTGGAGGGAATCCTAAGAGGCTCCTTCTCTTCTGGCAGGTGCTTTAAGATTAGCAGATTTGTCTCCACATATGTTCTGGGTGCTTTTCAAACTGCTGCTTTTGTGTTGGGTCTTGGGGCAAGTGAGTGTGCCCACACCCTTTAAAAATGGAATCTCCACTCCCTACAGTCCTGTGGTTCTCCTGGATATAAGCCCATTGGTTTTCAATACCAAACTTTTTGGGAGCTTGTTTGTCTCTGTGATATGCCAGGTCCTAGTGGTTGAGGTGCCTGGATGGGGGGTGCAAACCTCTTGCTTCTCAGGAAGAAACTCCAAATTTGTGAGATCCTCCCGATTGTGGGTCACTGCTTGGCGGGGGAGCAGGGTGGGTGAGTTACTGTGGGAGACAGGCTTTGATAAGACTCTGTGAATCGTAAAATACAAAGTACAGTACTGACATGTGTCTCTGCCTCTCCCATCCGTCTTGAGGTGGTCTTCTTCAACCTCTGTTTTCAGGGTTTTTTTAGAGGGAATTATTTCATGTGTAGCGGTCGATTTGTTGTGTCCATGGGAGGGAGTTAAGGATCTTTCTACACTGCCACCTTGAACCACCTCTCTGAATAGCAAGTCATTTTTATTCCTGAACTCTTTAGCACTAATTTTAGGTCCAAACTTAAAACAAAAACCCTAGTACCACTATTTTTTCTTATTTTCTATATATTCTAAATAAACTAGAGAACAAATGCGCAGTTTTAGTTCTGTAAGTGAGAAGAATCCTGTAGAATCTTTGTCACCTTAATTCCAGTAGTTTGCTCTGAGAGCATTCTTTGGTGGCTTATACTGCAGCAACATTAGAGCCAGGTGCTCAGAATTAGAGGACAATCTACCTTCTTTTTGATTTCCTTCACTGCTCAAGTATTAAAGAATGGTTCTTTTATGTTGGGGTCTCAGTTTTCTTTCGGTAAATATTTTCACTAATCATTTAAAAATTAGTAGTACTACTTTTGAGGAAGAGGCCAGGGATCCCCTGAGGGTAGGCACGTTTGTTTCATTCTGTTACTTTTGGGATGGCAGGCTTTGTGGTGAGGTCTGATGGAGAGAGCTAACCTGCACCACTAGAAGATACTAAGTCTCTTTTCTCCCAAATGGAAAAAGGTGATAGCAACAAATATTAGAATGGGTTTATACTAAAATTGGGAAATGGATGTATCTTCTGAGGTTAAATGTAAAGGAATGTAATTTTTGTTTTCTTTCCGAGGCCATGGAAATAGCATCTCTGAGGACCCAGGAAGAAAGGTCCAGCCAAGATCATGTTGATGAAGAGGCAAGATTTATTATTTTTTCATAACCTTGTGTTTTGAGGTCTTTTTTTTTATATTGCTAGGGCATTAAATTGATTTTCACAGATAAGTAGTCTTAAACGATACTATGTCACTTAAATTGACTGAGCCAAGTTGTATTCCATCACAGCATTTCACTCAGCAACCTGTTAGCCCATTAGCCTAGATGGAGAACATTTCTAAAAAACCTATTGGAGTATATGATTCAAGAAGGAAAAGTCTGTTTTAGTTTGCAAATGTGAATTTTTAAATGATTTAAATATTGATTCCAGGGACATTGTATATTTTAAATATTTATGTTTGGTGCAGAAGAAAGTTATTTTGGGAGTCTGTATTTTTTTGTAAAGGTAATCCAAGTATCATTTTTTTTTTATTCTTACAGTTGTTATGGCAGATGAGTATAAGGTGCCCTATATATGTAGCAGTTCTGAACCTTATTTCATTATGCACAGAGTAGATGAGGTTCCCATGTAAGAACATGTGCCTTCATAAGGCACAGCTGGGTAATGCTTGCTAACTGCAATTCCATTCTTTTCCAATCAGACAACCTTTTTGGAATACAAATGAGGGAAGAGAAGTGTTAAATTCTAAGATTATCCTTAAATCATTTAGTGTTTAATGGTTAGTAGTGAATTATTGTCAGCACCCCACACCACAGATGCCATGCCAGTGTGCAGACAGCTGGCTAACAATCAGCGCTGTACATGGTGTGTGTGGGTCACAGGGAAGACAGTGTAGCACAAAGAAGACAAGTAGGGACTCTGTGGCGTCTTACTACACTGATGGACAGTGACTTCAGTGGGGCATGGGGGGGACTTGATAATATGGGTGAATGTAGTAACCACAATGTTTTTCATGTGAAACCTTCATAAGAGTGTATATCAGTGATACCTTCATAATAAAAAAACAGAGCTACCATTCTATAATCCAGTAAAAAGAAAAAAAGAATCAGTGCTGTAGATGCTGATGACAGATTCCTTTGTGACTTCATGGAGGGAAAGATGCTGAGCGAATGTGCACATGTGTGCACATACTCGATTTTACTTTTCCTCTGTGTCTGTTAGGTGTTCAAGCGAGCATATATTCCTAGAACCTTGAATGAAGTAAAAAATTATGAAAAGGATGTGGATATAATGATGAAATTGAAGGAAGAGGACATGGCCATGAATACCCAACAAGACAATGTGAGTATAACAGGCAAGTTCAAAAGGATGCCACCGTCCCTAACCTGCAGTTTCAAATGCTGGCCTCTAAATCTAGTGAGATGACTAATTCCCTTTGCATTAACATGTTCTCTGCACATACTGGGTTTAAGAATTCATTGGTGTTTATGAGAGAAAGTGATGCACTTGAATGAGCCCAGCAGACAATAATTGCAGAAAAATAGAGATATGTATAGAAGTCTATGCTGTAAATGTGTATTACAGTAGATCTGTTAACATGTATAGTTCAGGGTGTGGGAGATTTTTCTGTTAAAGGGCCAACTTGTAGATACGTCAGGCTTTGTAGGCCAAGAGCAAAACCGAGGCTATAATGTAGGTCATAAAATAACAGGAGAGAAAAAATTTCCCAAAGATTTTTATTGATGAAATTAAAAGCAGTTTCATAATAATTAAATACAACTTTTCAATTCTGCTAATGAGACAAGAATGTCATCATTCTGGGGAGGAGAATACATTTCAATTAATTGAGATTCAATTAGCATGCTCTGTCATCAAACTAATTGCAAGTGTCCATCTAGAAACCATCAAGCACAGGTTGGACTTGACCTGTGGGCTGGAGGTCGTTGAGACCTGGTGGGTGTGGTGGACAAGAACAGCATCCATCCTATCAACTTTCTGTTGTTACTGTGACATAAATTTTAGGCACCTGTTTATAATTACACTAGATACCATTTAGCTAACTGTGTTCTTTCTTTATATTGAAGTATGTGTATTTCACTATCTGGTTTTATGTTGATCCTAGTTTTTCTCCTTTTTGGTTGTAAGATTCTGTATCAAACCGTCACGGGATTGAAGAAAGATTTGTCAGGAGTTCAGAAGGTATGAAGATCATGTATTGCTGTTCATTTATGTCAAAATTCTCTTAAGGTATATAAAATTTAAAGTATTACTATTGCTAGTATTAAGTTACTAGTGATGTACTATAGATACTTTCAAAGTCTATGGGCATTTTTAGAAACATTCATATTTCTTAACTTTAAGACTGAAATGTACAAATGTGTTTATTTTTCATTCTATCTCTGAATTCTGTTCAGGGTATTGATTCTTTCTGTATCCTGGGCCTTCATTTGTGAAGTTAATAAGGATAACCATGTGTTTCTTCATAATTTTACAACCAGCTTGAAAAGGCAGTGGAACCTGGTGAAGAGCAATCTCCTGAGTTTAGCAGTATGAGAATGCTGGATTTCTGGAGTGTTTTCTCTTAAAACAATCTTGTTTTGTTTTACATTTTAGAACAGCAGGGATTAATTCTAATTTAAACAATAATAAAGGTAGTTCTTTAATGTTTTTGATTAAAGTCTTAAATAGGAAGGATCACAGTTTGCTTTTTGAAAATTTACTGTTTTTTTATAGGAAGAACTGAGTTAGGAAAAGCCCAGTGTTTTACATTTCTGAGTTATATATACAAGGTATCATGGGGCAGTTGTGTTTTAAAGATCTTGTAGCTGGATAGAAAACCTTTTTGTGCAATTGTGTTTAAAGAGTTTTTTTTCTTTATTAAAAAAAAAAAACCCTAATGTTTTACAAAACTTCTGCTGCTGCTTTAAAAACTGCTAAGCTTCAGGGAAAAAAAAGAAAATTTCTGATTTAAACATTGTCTTCCCCCTTGATGGATCAGCAATAAATGTTGCTTGAAATTCCATTCGTAGGAAAACAACAACTTGAAGTTATCCAAACAAGTTTTTGTTTTATACTTCTGTCTTTATTCCTTGTCATGCAGTCTAGCTCAGTTCCGTCACTCGTCGGGGTCACCCAGTACAGCCCCAGTCCTTCATTTGCTGTGTTCCTGAGTCTCACTGGACTTGGCACTTCCAAGCTTCCTCCCTGATGTTGGTTCTGTTGTTCTGATGTTTCACTACAGGATTTTTTTCACAGTATATCTGCAAGGCTAGAAATCAGAATTCTGGCATTAATACATTTAATGAGAATGTAACTGATTGGTTTAGCATGGTTCTGTAATATTTTCAAGGTCCCTGCCCTCCTAGAAAATCAAGTTAAGGGGAAGACTTGTCCTGATTCAGAAGATGCTAGAAGCTCAGAGTGTTCTGACACAGACTGTGAAGAGCAGGGGGACCATGCCTGCTCCAAGAAACCCGCCACTGACCTTGATGTTGATAAAAAGGTTAGCCGAGAACTCAAATTCTCTTGTTCCTCTGCATGGCAGCCCAGCCAGTCTCATTTCTCTTTGTTCAAGTAGCTAGATTATGCTGACTGAAAATCTTACTGATCAATAGGTACCTCTGGTTGTAGTTTCAGTTCTTTAGTGGTAACATTGTTTAGAGATTGGGCTTCTGTTAGGAGCTCCTCGGGCACTGCGTAGAGAGAGGACATTGATCCTAATGATGCTGGAGTCGCCCCGTGGTGAAGCACTGAAGAGCCGTCATTTCAGGGGGATCTTTATAGCCCAGCCTGGTGTTTGTAGCACCAGAGAGACTTTCTTCCACTCCTGGGCATGGACATGAGGGACACTGCTGAGTAAATGGTGCACGGCTGCCGTGCAGCTGTTACTCTCCAGTTACTCAGCCCTTTAAGCCTTACACAGTGGGTCCTAAGACTTCTGAGAGACACACCCAACTCACCTGTATATTTTCTCTCTGTCTGCTGGAAATAAATATTTTGTCTCTTTCCAAACTTTATTTCTGTTAGAATATGAAACTTAAGGAAAAGTAGTTGCAAACATTTAATAACATCTCAGGGATATTTCTGTTTGGCTTTGTTCAAATTTCAGTTAAGAAGCCTTAAAGAAGGTTTCACCACCCCCACACTTCTACCACCAGACTAAAATCATTTTCATTTTTTTCATGCTATACCCACTTTTATCCATTAGCATATTTTTTAGGTTAGTTGTAATAATATGAATACTCTGAAAGAAAGAATGAAATATGTGGGCTTTTTAATTTTTTTGTTGTTTTATAGGAAAGAAAAAAGATGGTCAAGGAAGCCCAGAGAGAGAAAAGAAAAAACAAAATTCCTAAACATGTGAAAAAAAGAAAGGAGAAGACAGCCAAGACAAAAAAGGGGAAATAGAATTAGATGATATTACACAGTAATTCTCCATCAGTACTTTTCTTGTCTGCAGCTAAGTTGCATCTGGAAGTTGAGTTATTGGTATTACCTGAAGGGTCCCTGTGGCAGTGCTCTGAAGACTGATTCAGGCGTTTTCATGTAATTATGTAAAAAGCTCTGTTGTCCCAATTGAAGCACTAGCTCTGTCTTCATTAAGAGTATTTACTTAAGCTACTATTTTAACAAAGAACTTTGTACAATTTTATTTTTACATACTTTTTTCTCATGCAGTGTGCTTTTTGAAGTAAATACTTAAATGTAATGAATATCCACAATCTTAATATTAAGTGTAAAGACACTTCCGACAAACTTGGACAAATTGTTTTCACTTCATTTGTATGTGCCAAAGACCCATCTGCACATTTGATTACAAGGCCATGGGGGCCTCCCAGCTCATAAGCTATTTCACATCCAACTATTTGGTCTGTTCATTCTTTCATCTTCTATTTGAGCATTTTAGGTGCTGGGGAATATAGCAGTAAACAAAACGGAAATTACTACCTTCAGGTAGTTTACACTTTAATAGGAAGACAAGACATTTTTAAAAAAAAGGAAAATATGTCAGCAGGTGATAAATTCTGTGGAGAGAAATACTGTGGAGAAGAGAGCATGCTTGGGAAGGTGGGAGTTGACAGTTTTAAAACGGCACACTGAGGAGGCTGTGCAAATACGTGAAATGAAAAAAATTCAGGAGAGAAGAGCATTTCAGGCAAAGCAAACAGCAAGTGCAAAGGCCCTGTGGCAGAGGTGTGCTTGAAATATTCCAGACGCCAGAGTGTCATAATCATAACCAAGGGAGAAAGTGGCAGATGTGATCAGATGGCGCCAGGCTGCTGGAATGTGTTGAGCGGAGGAGTGATAGGATCTCATTTCTGTTTTGAAAGGGTCACACTCACTCCAGCCTCTGTGGAGCACTGCCTAGGAAGCAAGGGTGGGAGAGCAGCTGGGTATTGCAGTGGCCCACATGAGAAATGATGATGGCTTGGTCTAGGATTGTAGCAATGGAATTGGAGAGAAGACGTTGGATTCCAGATGGAACTCAAAGGTGGAGTGAGCTGGGTGTGCCAAAGCAGGATACAGGGAGAGAGAGGAAAGGCTGACTTACAGGTTGGTGACCTAAGCGACAGAGGGGCAGTTGGAGTTGCAGCCGTGTTCAGAAGGAATCAGGTGGAGCAGGGTTGGGGGCAAGAGGGAGAAATCAAAGCTTATATTGCAACAAAGCACATTAATTTTTTATTTTTATTTTTACCATATGCTGTATATTAGAAATGCCTATTTTAGCCCTCACATTAGAAGCAGTTTCTATGAGTAAACTTAGTTTCCCTTAAACTGAAGCTTGTACCTGCTTGTTTCAGAGTTGGTGAGCTATTGGAATGGATGGGATTGAGCTCTTTCAATGTGTAGGTCACATTTACCGTGTTCATGATATCCTCACTAAGTAAAAAAAATTCAACATATGAAATAAATTTCAGGGAGACACAGCAGGAGCCCCTCCAAAATATTATTCAATTAACACAACTAAAGGCAAAGCAGAAACAGACTAAGCAATCCTGTGCACCTCTGGGGGTTTTATCTTTGGTATCTTCCAGTTCTGTATTTGTTCGGTGACAGTCTCCAACATGGTGTATTAGACGTGATCAGGCTTCTCAATGCTGCCTTTTGGTGAATCTAATACAAAAGTTTGGAATCAGCTTCACTTGGGCAAATGTAGTGTGGGCAGGATATAGGGACAGTTCATTCTCATTTGCATGGCTGCCAGGAGGAACGGGCTTGTAAAATGCCAAGATTTGGGATTGTGGGAAATCCTCGTTTGAAGGACATTTTCCTGATAACTTGCTGATGTGGATGTGTCTCTGTTGGGATTCTGGGCCTTCAGTTGTGGGACTAGGAACCACTGGTAATATTCTTGCTAAACTTGTCTGAAGTTACATTTTCCTCGTTTCTTTCTTTCTCATCAGAAGGCTTGGAAGAAGCAGCCTGTTGTTAAATTTATAGGGCTGCTTGCTGACTTTGACTGCATTTGAATTTTAAGTGCTTGACAGTTAGGTTTTAGTGTCCATGGGTTGGTTGCTGGTTGCACAGTTAATTTCCATTTAGAGAGAGGAGGTTTGGGTCTCTTGGCCCAAAAGCTGGGACATAATTTTGTCAATTGTAGATGCATCTGATTTTCTGGCATATTTTATTGATTTTCTGATCCCTTTAAATAGTGCAGGTATTTTTCTTAAAGTTTACTGTTAGAAATCTGGATAGTTTATTTGAAGCACAAAATCACAGCTACTTCTAATGTTACTTTAGTCCTTCTTCCTATGATAAAGCAGTTTAGGAACAGAACTTGTACGAGCTCAGAAAAGGAAGAGTTGAAAAAAAGTTCCTCTAGAAACAGAATTTCAAGTTAAGAATGCCTTAAGTGTCATGTGCTCTGACTGATGATGTTTCTAAAAAAATCCTTCATTTCTAAAAGCTTGACAGGTTTTCTAATTTTAATTGTTTATACACATAGTAAATAAAGACCATAAACATTCAGAGCTTTGATTTGTGGGGGTTACTTTGTGATGATAAAGGAGTTGCAAGGATCAGTAGCTAGAGCAAATTTTACTCCTCAAAGTACAGTTTCCCGTGAAGAGCACATCAAATAGATGAGGTTTGCAACCACAGGTCATCATAAAGCAAAGCTCCCCAGGTTCTGTCTCTTGAACTGGATTAGGTTATTATATTCCCTACATTTTGGTTGGAGTTTCTAATTTCTATATCCTTTGGGTTTGTGTTACCTTGGACATAAAGGCTTTTATAAATATTCCAGGGGGAATTGTGATGTTGAGTATTAAGCCGTTTAAGCTAGTTTCCAAAAGCAGAGATGTCTTTTTGCATCTCTGTTCTCCAGAGCTCTTAGTCCCAGCTGACAGTGTTGTAGAAACCTCTGGACTTAAATTTAGAGAACCAAGACGGGTTTGTGAGATTTCTTTCGTTTTTGGCTTTCCTTCATTTTCTATATCACTCCACGTCCTGCTTTGATTGCTGGCAGGCCGTGATGGTGAGGAGGTAGCCTCATGTAGCCAGAGTAGCCATAGAGCCACAAAATCCTTTTTCTTTTACTTTTTGCCTGAATGGTAAGGGTGCCCTCTGATGTGTGAGCAGAGCTATCTCTGAGAAGTGTCCATGGCTTATATCAGTGCTAATTAATAATTTTGTTTAAAAGCTGATCAACTTTATCACCCTTGGGTGAAATTGTAGCCTTTACAGATTCTGTATGTAGCTGTTAGGACATTGCAGATTTGTCCATGAAAAAGTGGTAGGTCCTTGAGGCCAGAGAACTGCTGGGAGGGGGGATGCTGGAGTGTGTAAGCTGGTGAGACAGGTCCGAACGGGGTACCTAAAGTTGTACTTGGGAGGTTATCTTTGTTGGTGTTCTCCAAGGTACAGCAGGGGTGTGAGAGGCTGCGGGACAGTAACACACAAATGCACTGAAGGCTTGACGGTCAAGGAGTAAAGGCCAGTGTTCCGGAAGGGCCATCTGTTAGGACAGGCCTAGTTTTAGAGTGTCAGGGAGGGACATGGTTAGGTCTTCGGGGAATGAGAGTGGGTTGGGGGAGTAGACAGCATCCATGCCTGTGACATGCAGGGGAAGTGAGAGGGTCTGGTGGGAAGCAGTGCCTTAGGACAGCCCGAGTTTAAATGGAAAAGTGAACCATGGAGGAGTTGAGAACACAAGGCTTTTTGCTTGTGGGTTTGTCATGTGGGTTCCAAACGACTGCAGGAGTGTTTCAGGAACTAAAAAGGTAGGAAGGGGGCTCCGACCTCAAGTGCGGGCCTCAGCGTGAGGTTGGACGCTTCAGGTCATCGGTGCTGTAACTGCTGCTGTATCTCCTGTGCAGGTAATAGTCATACCTGCCTCTCAGGGTTACTGTGAAGGATGCAGAGGAGAGCCGAGGGGTGGGTCGCCTGATACTAGAAATGCCTATTTTAGCCCTCACATTAGAAGCAGTTTCTATGAGTAAACTTAGTTTCCCTTAAACTGAAGCTTGTACCTGGGTGCATTGTCCAGTCACTGAAAGTACAGCCACACTCGGGTCCTCCTGTTGTGATGTAGAAGGTACCCAGACCGCCTGTGAAGTATCTGGCCTCCCCACCAAAAACGAACTTGCGTCTAGGTAGCCTATAACTGTAATCAGCAGTTTCCAGGAATACAGGGCACACAGCAGGATAAATGAAGCTGGAAGGATACAGTCAACCAAATTCATAATAAGAGAGTATCTGTAATGAAAGGGAAAAAGGAGGGGAGTGATTATAGAGTAAGAGGTCCAGTAGACACCCCAACGCTGCTGACCTCATTTGCATCCCGATTACGTCAAACCAGTTGTAAAAAGATGAGCTTTTTCTTTTTTTTTAGACAAAATTAAATGGAGTAGGTATTAGATGGTAGTAAGGAGTTTTTGATTTAGTTGGATATGATAGTTGTACTGTTCCATTTTTTAAAATTGATCTCGCAGTCTGGACTGGAGTCCGTGGGGGTGAAATTGCTTTAGAATGCTGCATCCTTTTCCCCACCCTGGAGAGAAGTGGTAGATGAAACAAAAACAGCCCAAACAATTGCTAATGCTGGGTAGTGGTGTGTAGGATTCAGTCTGCTGTTCTATGTATAAAATTTTCTGTAAGAAAAATGTTTTCCTTTTAATGAGTTGAAGTAGATTAAGTACTTAAAACGGCTTGTCACATGGGAGCACTGTGTTATACAAATGTCTCAATGTTTATCATACTTGTTATTAGTTATAAGTAACTTTAAATCACAGTTTAATCACATGGGCCAAACAGTAGGGCTTGTAATACCTGCTGGGCCTGGCCTTAGTAGGTGTCATTTGAAATGCCCTCTTGATCTAAATTCACACTCTATTAGTGGTAAGAGAAGTTGGATATTGAACAAATGCTGATAGAGTTGTTAGTTCTGCCAAATGTAATCCTTGTTTTAAAATACAATGGCACCTTCTTAACGCCTTATCCTAACCCCTCTGGACTGTGGTCTGCCTCCTTCCCGGTGGGCCCTGTACGCCTGTTACCTTTATGTTATTTTTTCCTGCAACTCTTCCAACTACCTTACTTGCCTGTTGAAATTCACTTACGTGCATTGTGTCTTCCACCTCCCAGCCTTGGCCTAGACTGTAAACTCCGTAAGGGCAGGGATTGTTACCTTCAGTTTCATATCCCAGCACCTACAGTGGTATCTGAAACATAGTAAGTTCTCAATAAATATTGAAGTGAATAACATGTTGTGTTTTATAAACAAAGTTGAATCTGTGATATCAATTGGATGCACCCCTCACGTTCACAAAGGTGAAAGCTGGGGGCAGATGTGGGTTTATTTGTGTCCTCCAGCCCTGCCCTCCAGTGGCCGTGGCGCCCATTTTAAGGGGACCTCCCTGAGCTGTCTGTAGACACAGAGCAGGCCCTTACGCAGTCCTCTGTCATCAGACCCTGGACATTAGTTTGGCACTCAGGCCACTGGAAGTGATGCATCTTAAACTAGATTATTTTGTCTTTGACCATGCGAAACCATTTACCTTAATCCCGAGTACTCAGCCAGAAAATAGAATGATAAATGAATTCTTCAATCCCAAATCACCACAATATAGAAGAATGGGAGATTTTGAAACCAAGGCTTATATCCCCACATTTTGCCATCTTTTCCCAAATATAAACTGAAGGTTTTTAAGATGATTTTAACAGCTGGTCCTGAGTTTAAACAAGACCCCTGCCTACTTGAGAAACTGACAGACTCTCACAGTGAAGCACTATCACGAATCCTTTCCTTGAGTGGAGCTTAACATAGTAGCCCAGCCCCAGGGGATTAACATAATTGTCAGTAGGTAGTTGATTTTTCCCAATCTGGATTGTCATTAAATGATACCAGTATTGGCAGTAATTTGGGGAGCTTGTCTCCTGCTGCTCCAGCATTTAAGCATGCATGGTCAAGACTCGCTCCAGGGGCTGTGGGAACCTCTCCTTTCTCAGCTGTGGGAATGGTTAAGCCCCCATCATTTGGGGGAAAGTTTCTCATGTGTGGATTGAGGGAATTGGACCAGCTGGCCATAAAATTTCTTCTTTATAATTCTGTTATTTTAAAAGGTGTAGCATCAATGATTTGGAAAAGACCCCTCAAAGGCCAAGGGACCAAGATAGACTTATATATCTTAAAAGTTTTTTAATTAAAAATATAATATACGGTTTTAATTTGCCACTTATCACATGAACCATGTTTGTGTTTTCCGTGAATCATAATCTTGCAAAGCAGCTTTTTTCTTGCTGTGTGCCGTTTTAATTGTGGGGATTCTGGTCATTGTCCTCGCAATAATTTTTGCTCCTCCAGAGGGAGTTGTGCCCTTTCGTTTTCTTTACTAACCTGAGCTGCGAGCGGCACGAAAGGCTGGTAGGTGTTGGTTGATTGCCAGAACCGTTACGACCACGGAATGCCCAGGAGAAGCCAAGTTCATCTCTTTACACCCCCCTGAAGGAAGGGGGTTAAATGAAGATCCCGATGACAGAGGTGCATTTTGGTGATTGGTTTGTAAATTAATCCTGTTAAATTCCTGAGGAAATAACTCCTCAATAACATTTTCTGGAAGTTGTAGCTCATTCAATCAGGAGTTGTTTGTTTTACGTTAAAATGATATACATAATTCAAGAAAGGAATAACAGCCACACATAACCTGACTTTAGGGCCCTAGATTGAGAGTGTGACATACTATTAACGTGCTGAGACTCCATCTCTCTGGGCCTTGGTTTCCTATCTATAGAATGAAGATGTCAGCGTGAGGGAGTCTCAGATAGTTCTAGAGCTACACTCTTCAGTGTGGCAGCTGCAGCCATGTGTCACTGCCAAGCCCTAGCAGTGTCACTAGGCTGGATTCTAGGTGTAAAATACACACTGGATTTTGAAGACTTGGTATGAAAAAAAGGAACTTAGTAATTTTAGATGTTGATTAGATGTTGAAATGATAACTATTTTGCATCCACTGGTTCCCCCCAGCCAAGGTTTCCCTTTCTGTAGGTTCAGTTACCTGCAGTCAACTGTAGCCTGGAAGCAAATGATCCTCCTCGTGATGTAAATTCAGAAGGTCGCCAGCCTAATGCTAGCTACGTCACAGTGCCCACGTCCCTCACCTCACTTCATCTCATCACCTAGGCATTTCATCATCTTGCATCATCACAAAATGAAAGGTGAGTGCAGTGCAGGGAGATATTTTGAGAGAGGGAGAGAGACCACAGATCACATTTTTACTACAGTACCTTGTTATATTCTGTTTTACTAGTTATTGTTAATCTCTTACTGTGCCTAATTTATAAATTAAACTATCATAGGTGTATATGTATGAAGAAAACAGTATATACAGGGCTCAGAACTACCCACGGTTTCAGGCAACCACTGGGGGGTCTTGAAATGTTTCCCCCATGGATAAGGGCAGACTCCTGTATATTGAGTGAAATAAAATATATTAAAATTAGTTTCATCTATTTTTTACCTTTTTTGTGGGGTAGAGAATTTTAAATTGTATATAAGAATATGTGGTTTGTAGGATAGAACAACATTCAAAGGGAAGGCATGAACAAGGTTCTCCCCAAAATCTGTCTAAACCAACTTTATGTATTTAAAATTTTTCATATTCAGTAATATTTATTCTTCAGGTACAGTGACATTCCAGCTGGTTTAAATATAGAAAATACATATACAGTGCATGATGGAAAATAGGGTTTCTTAAGAATAAATAAAGGAGACATTAATTACTTGTTTTTTCCCAGTAGCATTTGTTAGCTTGTTAGTTCTCCTTAAACTTTTCTACCAAAGGTCTCACTGGGACAGAAGAACATGGCCCCAAGCTGCCTTCCATCCCACTTCTATGCATGACCTTTCTTTGAAATCTGTTTTTAGCTTTTTAAAAAAAAAATCCATGTGAAATTTGCATTCTACTTCTTGATAAATTCCTATCAAAAATTTTGCCAGGAAGTTTGAAATAACTATCAAGCAATGCTGATGCTCCAAGAAACCCAGTCCCTTGTTTGACCTGTAGCACATAGGACCACCTTAACTGGAATTTAAAATCTGTTGCTAGTGGAGACAATGTGGTGGGATGTTTCTTGTAAAATGTAGGATAATAGTTTCCGTTATATTGTAGTAATGATTAAACAGATACAATGCAGGTAAGTTACTTAGCACTCAGTGTTTATAAAAAATAAATATTGGTTATTTTTCTCATTTGGTTCCTAATAAGTGAACCAGAAATCTAAGGATTTTTCTTAGAAAGTATTCACTGTACTAGGAGATACACTGAGTTATAACATTGTATCAAGGCTGCCATAATGAGCATAGGATACTTATTTCACATGTAGTTAGGTTAATATTTATGCAGGTTTTAGAAGGGACCATGTCATATAACTGAAAAAGTCCCAGATTCACACTAAGAAACCCTGAATTCTAGGATCTGCTACTCTTTTTTGTTTATGAGTTATACCCTGTCTATGAATAATTTTTAAATAGTTTTCAGTAAATAGCATATTCAGTACTATCAGTAAAAAGACCAAAGCCATATGAAGGACGGGAGAAGTTACTATAGCAAGAATCTATAGGCTGATAGACTTGTTGCCTGGCTGAATTGCCTGAGTTGTTGGACAAAGGATCAGTGAGCTTGGGCACGTCGTTCAACACGGGCTCTTTTCTCCTTGGCTCCGTAATGTGGAGGCTGGGCCAGGTGACCGCAAGGCCTCTCAGTCCGAAGCATGGAACTTGGGAGTCAGACAACCTGGTTCAAACTCCACCTCCTGTATTTGCTAGCCAGATCAACTTGGACGGACCTTTCTGAACTTGTTCCTTCATCTGAGATGAGGATGGTATGAAAGTCAAATGCGATGTCAGTGAAAGTTAAAAACTTTTGACATTGAGAAAGTATTCAGTTAATGTTGGTTTCCCCTAAGAATTCTAGGAGATTCTAGCAAGTGTCCCTTTATTGCTCGGTTACATTCTCACATGATGCATATGTTTTATTTTGGATTAATTTGGATACTTTAGAACTTAAAAACAGAGAACCCCAGAGCAAGTGGTCTTTAAGTCCACAGCCTGGCCCTTGGACAAATAGAGAGGCTCACCAAGGTGACCTTCACTGCCAACACTGCTTTCAGATTTATTTCAACTGGGGATAAATTCACACTAAATTGGAAATGGCTAATTTCTGTTGGGCAAATCTTAACATGGTGGAAGCCAGTGAAACACCCAAAGGGGTGTCGGGCATGTGGGAGTGAAGAGAGGACGGAGAAGTCCTAAAGCCAAACTCACACTGACTTCACAGGTTTTCCTGGGGCCTGCCAAGCCCCGGCTTCCATCAGTGGGACGAGTTGGGTAGCTTTCGGGGCTCATCTTGCGAGGAAAACTCACTGCTTTGTGCACCGCATCTCAGCTTGCTGTATGCGGGCTAAGGTGTATCTGGTGCAGGCAGTTTGCGCCCACACCCGGAACCTGCTGGCTTCCCAGTGAGGCGAGGGGTTCGTGCCCTTCCCAGAGGGTGTGCTGCAGGGCTGAGGCTATGAAATCAGCTGAGCATTCGACTCCTCTCCACCTTGGGACCCCAGAGTTCCTCTGGGCATGCAAGTTGTAATTAGGATTCTTGAATAGAGCCGTGGGTTGGTTTTGTTTATGTTTTGTTGCTTTTCGTGTTTTGGCTATTTTTGTTTTGTTTTAGGTTCATGGCAGTCTTAAGGGGCATCTGGTTGCCCAGCTCAGTGGCAAGGAGAAAGCCAGTAACAACTCCTTTGATGGGCAGCCCAAATCTGGCTAGGATTTCCCCTTTCTTCCCACATAAACTGTCTCTTCTAGTTTGTGAATGAGTAAACACTGTGTGTGCTGCTTTTTGCCCGGGCCAGTCAGGGAAGACAGTGCCCTCACCACCAAGCAGTGAGCAGTCCTGGGCATTACTAGCTGCATTTGCTCTCCCAGCGTCTCTCAGAAATACCTCTCACTTTGGGAGGGCAGCTGAGTCCCTGGGATGGGCCAGTGTGAGCTTATAGGCTCCTGCTTCTGAAGTTGGGGATGGAGAACAAAGAGCAAATTTTCTGGAGACAGCTGTCCAGACAGAGCCAAGTGTCTGAAGGTGTCACCAAGATGGAAATCCAGCTCTCTGACTGGAACAGGCTTGCTGCAGACAAGGTAGCCCTGGGGGAAAAGAACCCTTCAAAGGTCTTGATGATGGGAAAACATTTTTGTAGCAAAGAACAAGCCCTACAAGAAGGTGAGTGCAGAAAAGATCTCTGAACAATTGTATTTAAGGTTTGAAATTTCAGCTGCTGCGTCTTCAAGCCCAAAGGAGGCCCTGCCCTGCCTCAGTGGGCTCTCCCTGATCCAGCTGCCTCCCCAGGAGCCCTCAGCAATATGCCAGCTGGTATCAGCATCCCAGCAAACATGATAGTCTGTTTTCCAGAACCATGTGTTTTGAGGGGAGAAGAACCAAGAGTAAAAGAATCAGAGTACTAGGGGTGCTGCTGTTGGGGGCTGGGGGTGGCTGGGGCTGGCTCGCTGCCCTGCAGGCACATTGAGGCAGCCCGTAAACAGCAAATGCATGTATAAACCCACGTGTTCCCAGACAGTAAAGGACAATGAGGAAGACTGCCCGGAGAATGTGGAGAAACGGGGGCCCTCGTGCACTGTTGGTGGGATGTAAATTGGTACATCCACTGTGAAAAACAGTATGAGACTCCTCAAACTAAAAATAGAACTACTTATGATCCAGCAATTCCGCTTCTGGGAATTTTCCCAAAGAAAACAGAACAGTAATTTGAAAAGATACATGAACCACTTTGTTTATTGCAGTATTATTGACAGAAGCTAAGATATGGAAGCAACCTAAGTGTCCATTGATGGATAAATGGATAGAGAAGATGTACATATATACAATGGACTATTACTCAGCCCTAAAAAAGAATGAAATTTCCCACTGGTGACAACATGGATGGACCTAGGAGGTATTATGCTAGGTGAAATAAGCCAGTCAGAGAAAGAAAAATACTGTGTAATTTCACTACTATGTGGAATCCAAAAAATAAACAAATAGCCTCATAAACCCAGAGAAGAGACTAGTAGTGGTCCTAAGGGAAGGGTTGGGGAACTGGCAACATAGGTGAGGGGATTAAAGAGGTACAAACTTCTAATTATAAATCAGTCATGTGGATAAAAGCACAGCATAGGGAATATAGCTAATAATACTATAATTTGTTGACAGATGGTAACCACACTTACTGTGGTGAGCATTTAGTAATGTATGCAATTGTTGAATCACTATGTTGTACATCTGAAACAATTATAATATTATAGATCATATAATACTTCAATTTTTAAAAAAAGGCCCAGCCATTACGATTAGCATGTATAGTGCATGGGGGGCATGGGGAGGGCTGCGCAACACAGAGAAAACAAGTAGTGATTTTACAGCATCTTACTACGCAGATGGACAGTGACTGTGAAGGGGTATGTGGGGGGGACTTGGTGAAGGGGGGATCCTAGTAAACATAATGTTCTTTCTGTAATTGTAGATTAATGATACCAAAAAAAAAAAAAAAAGGCCCAGTGCATGTGAACAGGTGTGAGATCAGCTGGTCTCTGTGGCTTTTAAGAATGAGCACAGATGTTCATAGGAGTGTAAACTGCAGACAGAGCCTGCAGAGTTGGACAGAGGTGGGTGAGGACCAGGCAGTCTTGGATTTGGTGGTCTGGCTTCTTGGGCCACTCTTAGTGTCCACGCTCTGTCAGGTGACCTCCTCCAAACAGGCGAGGACAGTCAGGAGGTCCCAGAACTCAGAGGAGCCTTGAACAGCCTCCTGGCCGTGGCCTATTTTGCTGTTCCCAGCTCAGGGCACGGCTGTCAGAGCATCTGTGCTCTGGGATCCACTTTCTAGTGGCCTGTTAGGATCTTCCTGAAGGGATTTTAGATGCTCTGTCACACACAGTTCCAAGATGACTAGGGAAAAGTGAACAGGGGTAGGTGTGATTTCAGTGCTGCTCCAGCTCACAGGCCGCATGGCTGCTAACAAACCTTTTAGCCTCCTGTGAGTCTGTTCTAGGTTTTGTGGTGTTGGGTTTCTTTGAAGTAAAATGAAATACCACCCAGGGCCTCCCTAGTCTCTGGTTTATGTATCTTTCATGTTGCCTTCTTACAGAGGCTTTGACCACATGGAGTGAGATCTCAGGTCACAACAGAGTTTTGAGAGCTGGGAGTAAATTTTTACAATAAACACAGACTTGCATACCTAAGATTCTTTCTTCAGTACCCAACCCCTTCCAAAAATAAAAGGAAAAAAAACCCAAATACTCTTGCAAATAAATAGAAAGTCCATGAAAACTGACTGTCATCACATAGTTCGTTCATTATTTTTTCTGAATTATTATTCTAAATTTGCGATGATGTATTATTGGGGGATATACAAGGGTTACACTTAAGCACCTGCCCTTACTGTTGCTGCTTTCTTATAAAGCACACACACGCACACATACACAAAGCAA